CAGCTTATGCGGGATCTATAGTAAATGTCTGTTGTGTTCTGCACAATTATACAAAAAACCATAACTTACCCATGCCCGAGGTACAAGAACACCAACAAACAGAAACCGATTCTTCAGATTTGTACAGCACTATTTCTGTTTTAAATGAAGGCCGAAGAGTACGGGAATCCAAGCAATTTGACATGTGACAAAAACTCGAACGAAAAAAAAGTGAGAAAACCATTCACCATAGTTACATAAACACTTCTAGTGAGTAATTGTCAAAAGTGAGAAAATCGTTCGAGAAAACGAAGTGAGAACGTTACATAAACGAGCCACAGATCATTTATAATAAACGAATAAGATTTTGCAAAATTTTTTTGTAGATATATATACATACCATATATAATTATTTCCTTACTATTTATTTAACTTAACTTTTTTTTTTTATCGCTTACTTTTTAAACCTAATTATAAGTATACATCAAACCTCCTTCTGTTACAACTATAAGTTCAGAAGCAGAAGTAAATAAATGTTGAATTGATTGGATTGATTGAATAGCGCACCATTTTCTTGGCTTAAAACCATATGATTTCAAAATGTTGATTAGTTGTTTTTGAATCACCTTAGCCTCTATCAGACTGTTAGAACCACATAATCCATCATCTACATAGAAGTCTCTTCGTAGGGTCTCTGCTCCAAATGGATAAGTACCAGAACATTCTCTTGCTAAAGTTTGTAAACATTTTGTAGCTAAGTATGGAGCTGATCGAGTCCCATATGTCACAGTTTTTAGTTTATAAAATCGTAGCGGCTTTTGTGGATTATTTCTCCAAATGATTAATTGTAGCATTTGATCTTCTGGGTGAATAAGTATTTGCCTACACATTTTCTCAATGTCCGTTGTGAAAGCGTATCTTGGAATCCTGAATCGTAATAATATTGAGAATAGATCGCATAATGATCGACCTGATGAAGTTTTACTAGATGCATCGAATACAACACGTAATTTTGTCGTGGTGCTATCTGGTTTTATCACGCAATGATGAGTAATGAAATAATGTGAGGCCATGATGTCATCAGGTTGAATTTCTTACATGTGACCGAGATCTTTATACTCAGTAATAAACTGTACGTATTGTGCTCTTAACGCTTCATTTTTTGACAGCCGTCGTTCAAGAGAGAAAAATTTGCGTTGTGCAATTTCACTAGAGGATCCTAATGTTGATACACTGTCAATAATTGGTAATTTCACAATAAATCTGCCTGCCTTCAAGTTTTCCACAAAATGAGTTTTACTAAATTTTTCTTGATCAGACAGTAGTTTTGAACCTTGTGCTGATTCTTCAAGATTCCCAAATCGGACGTGGAGATTATTTAGCGAATTTTCTTCTTCGCTAAACATACAACAGACTGCGTCGCCTTTTGCTGTTTCTGTTAGTATACCACTTACAATACATCCAAGAGTAGCATTCTGGAGTATTGGTTTGTCGACTCCCAATTGGATTTGCCCTGGCGTTAAGAGATGTGGATAAAATTCAGATCCTAATAATACGTCTATTTTTTGTGACTCATTGAAGTTAGGATCAGCTATATTAATATTTTTTGAAATGTTCTATGAACTGATATTGACACATTGAGGAGCAATGATATGTGACAAATGCTTCTAAATTTGTATTGAAATTGCTATTCATTGATCTAAAGACAGTGCTGATTCTTTGACGAGCACCGATTGTGATATTACCAACTCCATTTATACGCATTGATGTTGCTTTTGGAGTTATTCTCTGTTGATGAGCTACCCTCTCGGTCACTAAATTAACTTGAGAACCTGATTCGAGTTTAACTCGCACGAGTTCTTTCGAAAAGTTCTCACTTGCTTTTTGTCACTTCTTTCGAGTTTTCTGTTTATGTAACAGGAAAAATTCACCACACGAGAACGTTATGGTGTGATGAGAGAAACTGATGAAAATGGAACTTTTTTTGAAAAATTGGAACGAAAATGAAATAATTTGAAAAGGTTGCTTAGTGTTTGCGGTAAGATATTCAAAATTATTTGAAAATCATGAATAAATCGCAAATGAAATTTACTTATCAATATTAATAATAATAATATATTTAACATTATATATACATATGTGTAAATATATGAATACTTACATTACTCAGTATGATTATATCAATAAATATTTTATTTAAAGAAATCAAATGTTCTCACTATCACTTTTTATAACTTTAAACTCAATATTCAAAATTCAAAATTCAAAACTTTTCGCAAGCAATTTGACAGGTGACAAGAACTCGAACGAAAAAAAGTGAGAAAACAATTCACTACAGTTGCATAAACACTTCTAGTGAGTAATTGTCAAAAGTGAGAAAATCGTTCGAGAAAACGAAGTGAGAAAGTTACATAAACGAGCTACTGGTCTCAAACAGTTACGACATAAGTTTTGTTTTTTAACAAATTGTAGTCGTTCAAAAGTATTTGCTTGTAAGAACGGTTGGCAATGTTTGGCGAGCAATGGAAAGCAAACCAAAATCTGATAGAAAGGCTGCTACATTGCAATATCGTGCCACATCTCAGGCTGAGCAGAAAAGGCAAGGCTCACGTCTAATGAGGACAAACTTAATAGCAACTACTCCAGGGCTCTACCAGTTTTGCAATAACGCAGCGCACCAAATAGGCAACTGCACCAGGCTATTGGCTTCCTCCCCAGCGGAGCGGTCCTCATTGCTCAAAGGGTCGAATCTTTGCTTCAATTGCTTGAAACCTGGACATTCCACCAAGGCATGCAGCTCAACTAATTGTGGCATATGCAATGGCAGGCATCACATTCTACTATGCCAGAGTTCACCAGTACAAATTCCTCCTTTGCAAGAGTCCACACAGCAGGCACAAACTACACCTCAGGCACAAGTGAAACCAAACCAGGCTGGCATCCCACCACGTGTGCATCAGTGACTACACCATCCAATGCAGACATTCGCTACTATTGGCAATTGCGCTATATTCTTGGCAGAAGCACCAGTACACATATTAAATGCCTTTGGCGACATCGACTCGTATCGAGCTCTCTGCGATCCAGGCTCCCAGGGAAGTATAATCACTACGCGATATTTTCTTCAACTGGCTCTCCGTAAGCAGAAAAGTGCATTGCAAATGCAAGGCGTTGGCAGAGGCAATCGCCCATATACTACTGACCGGGCTCTCTTACACATATTTTCGACTGTCAATGCTTCATTTGGCTTGGATGTTTAATTCCACATTTTCAACAAAATTACCTCAGCAATACCTGTGGCTTCGATCACTGAAAACTGTTGAAACGCAATTCACCTTTGGCAGACCCGAACTTTGGCGAAACTGGTGGTATCGATGCATTGTTTGGGTTTAAAGTGTGGGGCCAATTGTTGGCAGATGGTATAGTTCGTGGCGAAGTCGATGACTAAATACACAATTAGGCTGGGTTGCATTTGGATCAGCCGAGGCAACCATGCTCAACTACAAGGCGGAACCATTTATGGCTGATCCATGTCAGCTCAATCCACAATTGGCAGAAACTACTGTTCTTGGACTCTTTTATCAGGTCAGCTGCCATGATACACAACATCTTACCAAAAGGCAAGTGCTTAACGATATTGCGAAACTATTTCATCCAGCTGGCATGTTGGCACCAGTCATCATTACGGCTAAGCTTTTCATACAAAAACTCTGGCAGGGACGGCCCATTACCGCTAAAACTATTGCCAGAATGGCTAAGGGTGCACCATTTCATTCAGTAACAATACCTCAGTTCGAACTTTGCGCTGCACAATTGTTGGCTACCCTTTTACACGAAACAAGGCAGGATTTGCATCTAGGATACGTACCACACACTCTATACTCCGACTGAAATATTGCTCTTCATTGGCTACCTTAAAACACATCAAAATTAAAGCAGTACGTTGCTAATCGCGTTGACTGCATGCAATCAATGCCAGATATTAAGCATTGGCATCACATCCCTACAAAACTCAACCCAGCCGATTGCGCAAGTCATGACATATCCCCTTTAAATAAATATTTTTTTTCGAAAGTGGCAACCTTTTTAGGCTTACTGTCAAAATCATATGTTAATCCGACCATTTGTTTACAAGTTACAGTGCTTTAAGTGACGCTACTTTTGAGTTTTCAAAAAAAAATGAATTCAAAGCAATTCCGTGTGCTGATTTATCATTGTTTTTTAATGAAAGAAAAATACTGTTCAATGCCAGGAATGGCTTGAAAAACATTATTCGGACTCTGCTCCATCAAAAAGAAGCATTTGTTATTGGTATGCCGAATTCAAACGTGGTCATACAGACACCGATGACATTCCATCTACTGGACGGCCAAATGTTCAATCACGAACATGAGTTTTGACCTCCGGCAGAATGTTCAATCATGAACATGAATTTATACCATATATTTAATTATTATAGTTTATATTATCACCTAAATTCTTAGAATTATGTACTAAGGAAAAATATAGATAAATAGTAACATTTTTTAGCAACCGTATTTAAATTATTAAAATAAAATATATTCATAAAAACAATAGGAGGAAAATCCCAAGTGTTGGGACTTCCGTCCTTTTTTAACCTTTTTTAACCTTTTTTGACAAATGTAATACAGTCCATTAAAATCATAATATTTTAACCTTGATGTAGAAATTAGTCTTAAAATATTTTTGTATAAAAACACAACATTTTTGAAATAAAATCAGTAGCTAAAATATACTCAAACTGTGTACTTCATTAAAATAAAAGTACATTTGGTCCTTCGAGCCGGATATAGCAAAAATGTATAGCATTGTGTACTACAATAATAAATCAGTACATCCAGTGGCAAGGAACTATAAAATATTAAAAGCAGTATTAGGACTAAACAATTGCATAAAAAGCATTGTAGCAGCAATAGAACGGCAAAACAACAAGCAACAAGATGGATTCAAGAACGAAGCTTGTAAGAATGGAAATTTTGTACAAATTTCCAACCTACATACTATGACTTGAATGTTGGATGTTTCTATAAATGAATTTATTAAATATAATTATCATTTAGAAAATTGGAAAACAATTATAAATACCTTTGCACTACTACTTTACGCACGTCACTTGAAGTAATTAAAACAAAAACGAAACGTCGTTTATATAAATAATTTTATTTAATTATTTATTAAAATTCCGATATCTTTAATTAATTTTACTTATTTTACTAATTTTAATAAATTTTATTCAATTTAAAAAAAAACGCGCACATGTAAAAAATAAAATTGTAAACAAACATTTGCAAACGTCAAAAACGTCAGAATGCAATTCGCTGCAAAAAAGATGCACAAGGAAGCTTTTGTGCAAAAGAGTTAAATTGCATTAAGTTCAACTAAGATCAACTCAAAGCTTTGTGTACTTTACACAAAAAGTTCAAGTGGAGACGTATAAAAGACGGCGCATTTTTCTAAGAATTTAGTGTGTCTAGTATGATCACTCGGTGGCATTGTATGTCAACGTATAAAAATAAATAAATATAAAAAAAAATTGTCTGACACAAAGGCGGTTTTAAGCCTAGTGTATAATCTATTTAAAATATATATATAATTGTTTAGTGCATGGACGGTTTTAAGTCCAGGCGCGGAGACACTTTATATATATATTCAATATAACAAGACATATATATATTCACTAACCCCGTTTCGTCCACTAGGTACTCATCGAGCAGAATAATCACCGAAATTATACTAAGGTACAACCACGAAACCGGATCAGCCACCACTATGAACTCTACAGGGACAGCTTCCAAATACAGCTGATCACAAGGAAACATCTCAAGTCATATCTAATTAAATTCAACCAATCTCTTTGAAATACGACTAAGGAAATACATTCAGAATTTGCATGCGTTCAAACTCTCAAGTTATTGAAATATAATTGAAGAAATAATAATCTATATAAAGCTATCTTATATAAATCATTGAAAATTGTACAAATTGTTAATCTCAAGGTTTTATCTAGCTATGTTTAATTGAAGAAATAATAATCTATATAAAGCTATCCTATATAAATCATTGAAAATTTTACAAATTGTTAATCGCAAAGTTTATCTAGTTACGTTTAATTGAATTCTTTTATTTATTACATATTATTTTAATGAACTATTAATATTTTAAATAAATCTACATTGAAAATTTAACCGCCGTACTTTTATTTTGAGAAGTCCTGTCTCCGCGATTATGAATTTATTGTAGCGACCCCCTGGAAAAGACTGAGGATACCCCAGCATAAATTATAACGAAACGGGAAAATCCGTGTCGTTACAAGCTGTATCAAAAACAAAATATTGTAAAAGCTGCAATAGAAGCAATTGAAAGTAGCATCTCGAAACGAGAGATGAGAAGCGCATCATTGAAAGAACAAAGAAATAGATTACAGCATTTATGGAAGGAGTTTCAAGAAAACCATGGGACGATATTAAAAAATCATGGACCCAAAGATGACGTCTATTTCGAGGCAAATTCATACGAAATGATGGAAGAATTGGTTA